AAAAAAAAAAAAGGCTAAATAATGGTAGAGACAATCAAAACAACACAGGAGCCCTACCAAAGGGATTCCATTAGCCAAATCTGGAACAATTTGAACATCAAAATCAGTAACAATAGTAAAAGATTATAACCTGTTGAATAAAGTAAGAATGCATGAGTTTACAGGAACATTAATTAATTAAAGAGAAGGGAAACATTTTATAGTGGAGAACCAACTAATACATGTAGAAGGAATGATAGAATTAGAAAATCACTGTTTGGCAACCATCATAATAATAATTGATTCAGGGAGGAATTGTAAATGGATACTAAAACTAGTGGATGAAACTTTGAGTATCTCCCTACAAAATATTAATTACAAAGTATAAATAGTAACATACAGTGATGAGATTTGGCAGATCACATTTGCCAAATGATCAAAGTTAACATTTCCAGTACTGGGACTACTCCACTGCATGTGCCTCCTGATAGGATGAGAAGTCAGCATCACTCGGGGTATTGTTGCCAAAAGTACATAAGCTGAATCTAATCATGAGGAAATACCAGACAAATGTCCAGACAAAGGAGCATTGTACAAAATAATTGGCCCGTACTTTTCAGAAAATGTCAATGTAATGAAATACAAAAGAAAACTCAGAAACTCTCTCAAATTAATGTGGACTATGGATATAGCTGAATGCAATGCACAATCTTGGATTTTTTTTTTTTTTTTTTTTGCTATAAAAGACAATTGGTGAAATATGAATAAGGTCTGTAAATTAGGTATTGTATCAGTTGTTAACTTCCTGATTTTTATCATTGTACTATGGTTATATAAAAGAATTTCCTGTTTTTAGGAAATGCACACAGAATTATTAAGAGGTAATGGGGTATGTCTGTCTGTTTTTTTGGTGGTTGGCCAGTACAGGGATTGAACCCTGCACCTTGGTGTTATCAGTACCACTGTTCAATCAACTGTATGTCTACGTCTTACTCTTAAATAATTCAGAAAAAAAATAAAATAAAATAAAAGAGAGGGCCGAGCCCGTGGCGCGCTCGGGAGAGTGCAGCGCTGGGAGCACAGCAACGCTCCTACCGCGGGTTCGGATCCTATATAGGGATGACCGGTGCGCTCACAGCGCTCACTGGCTGAGCATGGTGTGGCCGGTCTCAAAAAAAGGACAAAAAATAAATAAATAAATAAATAAATTTTTTTAAAAAAGAGAGAGAGAAAGAAGATAAAGCAAATGTAGCAAAATATTAACATTTGAGAAATCTGGGTAAAGGAAATATAAGGAATTCATTGTAAGATTTTTGCAGCTTTTCTGTGACTCGCAAAATTATGTCAAAATAGGGCCAGCCCGGTGGTGCACTGCTACAGTGCGCCGCTTGGGAGCGCGACGGCGCTCCCGCCGAGGGTTCGGATCCCATGTACAGACCGGCCGCTCACTGGCTGAGTGAGGTGCGGGCGCAACACCGAGGGTTGCGATCCGTTGCCGGTCATGAAAAAAAGACAAAAAGGAAAAAAAAATTATGTCAAAATAAAAAAATAATAAATCTGTAAAATAAAAATAAAATGAGGTCTAGTATAGCCATCAAGAGAAAACTGGGTACTGGCCTAAAAGATGAGACAGAGTCTGAAGAAGGTAATTGCTGTCTGCTTCTGTTCAGGTCACGCCCTTGACTGCTTTGAAGTTTGCAGAGCTCTCTGTGAAAGCAGGCTTTCCAAAAGGGGTAATCAACATCATTCCAGGCTCAGGTAAGCCATCAAATGACCACTTTGCCGTAACCAATGAATGGTTAGGGGTAGTTGAGTGGCTGTTTTCCCACTACAGTCTTGTCCTGAATTATAACTATATTAAAACTAAATACAGGGGACTAGCTGTTTAGCTCACTTGGGAGAGTGTAATGCTGGTAAAACCAAGCTTACAGGTTTGAATCCCTGTACCAGCCAGCTGCCAAAAACAAACAAACAAACAAAAAATTAAATACAGTTTACCAAATAGTTAACTTAAGGATAAATATACTTACCATGTATTAAAATCATAAAGTGGAAATATAGTGGCTGAGTGGCAGGGTGGGTTGGGGGAGGTTGTACAACATTGTAAATCTACCCTAAGATGGTCTGTTTCAACTTTCAGAAACGACATTGGAAGATTAAAAACTAAAGCTTACCCATCATTATTTGGTAGGACTGACAGTTGCATGGGGGATATTATTTTAGATTTTTGTCAGCTTGTGATTAATGCAGAATATGTAAATCTAAGATTTAAATGACAGGGGCCGGCCTGGTGGCGCACTGCTATAGTGCACCGCTTGGGAAGCGCAGCAGCGCTCCTGCCGAGGGTTCAGATCCCACATACGGACCGGTTCCCGCTCACTGGCTGAGCAAGGCACGGGAGCAACACCAAGGGCTGCGATCCCGTTGCCGGTCCCGGTCCGGTACGGGGGCGACACTGAGGGTTGCGATCCGTTGCCGGACACGGAAAAAGACAAAAAAAAAAAGATTTAAATGACAGCTTAAAAATCTACTTTAATAAATTCAAAGCCACCCTCACCCTAAGAACTTGAGTTATGTTTTAATTCATGTTTTATTCCCTAACTCGACAGGTGGCATAGTAGGACAACACCTTTCTGAACACCCTGATATTCGCAAACTTGGTTTCACTGGTTCCACTGTTATTGGCAAACAAATCATGAAGAGGTATTGATTTTAGTATGTTGATTTGCTACAGATCCTGTTAAACCAGGTTTCTGTTTTTGTTTAAATAAGGTGCTTTTTTTAAAATTTAAAATTAAAATTTATTATTAGCATATTTAACATTATCGTTCTTACAAATCATGGTATTTCTTTATGCCCTTAACCCGACCGATCACTTCCCAAACGTCCTCCCTACCTCCTCCCCCACCATCTCTAGTATCTTTAGGTTTGTTCTCTCCTTCTGAAAGTTCATCATATTGTTGTGGTCTTTTCTTTCTTTCTTTCCTTCATTCCTTCCTTCTTCCCTCCTTCCTTCCCCCCTCCTTCCCTCCCTCCCTTCTTAGCAGCCAGTTATGAGTGAGAACATCTGGTATTTCTGTTTCTTTGTCTGGCTTATTTCACTTAACATAGTTTTCTACAGACTCATCGATGCTGTTGCAAATGGCAGAATTTCATTCTTTTTTATGGCTGAGTAGTATTCCATTGTGTATATATACTACATTTTCCTTATCCAGTCTTCTGTCAATGGACACTTAGGTTGGTTTCATATTTTGTCTATTGTAAATAGAGCTGCAGTGAACATGGGAGTGCAGGTATCCCTTCAACATGATGATTTCCATTCCTTTGGATATATACCCAGTAGTGGGATTGCTGGATCATATGGCAGTTCTATCTGAAGTTGTTTGAGAAACCTCCATACTGTTTTCCATACGGCTGTGCTAATTTACAGTCCCACCAACAGTGCAGAAGAGTTCCCCTTTCCTACATACTCTCCAGCATTTGTTATTCTTGGTCTTTTTAATAATGGCAAGTCTAAAGAGGGCAATTTTGGAGTGAGGAAAACCACATCGAATTTAGAAAAGAAATCTACTTATCACTCTGGGTACTGAAATATTTGAATGTAATAAAATACTTTCCAAAGTGTTAAATCCACAGTCAATAAAACCAGAACTATGTGGGAATTCTACACCCTACTGTAGCTTTAGCAATCCAGCACAAAAAATTTTCTGTGCTAAAGCTATGGCCCAAATAGTTTTTGTATCATAAGTAAGAAACTGAAAAGATATATAAATGACAAATTTATATATGGTATAGTATATGACAAATTTGGATTATTTATAAAATGGATTCCCAAAACATAGTAATATTAGTTTTTTAAAAATTGCAAGCAACCTAAATATCCAAAATAAAGCGGTAAATTAGGTCAATGTAATGAAATACTATGCAGTCATGTTCACAAAGAATTTTTAGTAGCATTGAAAAGTGTTGTTAAAATGATAAATGGAAAGAAAAATAAGATTGAATAGTGTATACTAGGTGATCTCAACTATGTTAAACAAGGCAAAATCTATGGTAGGACACAGAGCAGAAATTAGTATATGAAAATAGTAAAAACCATGGTCATTGAGCCATGGGATGGAATTTTGTGATTTTTTTTCTTGTCTGCATTTTTTGGAGGTATTCTCAATATGTTTTAAATAAGAATACTAAAAAAAAAAAAAGAATACTTTTGTAAGACAAGGGAAATAAACAATATACTTCTAAAAACTGATACTTTTGTTCCTAATGCTCTAGTAGTCTGGTTAGAGGTTGAATTCCTTGCCAGACCTTTATGTAACCAAAATTCTGAAAGAATCTGAGAATTACCCATGAGAATGTCTAATAATTTGATCACAGAATTTTAAAAAGTGTTTATTCTGGAAAATTTAGAATACATACAAAGCACACAGGAAAGCATAACGAATTCCATGTGTTCATCACCCAGCTTCAACATAATCACCATTCTACCATTCATGTTTTGTCTTTCTGAAGCTCAGTTACGTTTTTTAAGTCAATTGGCAACTTATGGTTAATAAAGCCAGCGAGAGAGAGTCAGACAGACAAAGTAAATGCTCATTTCCCATTTATTCTCCTCTAGCTGTGCTGTGAGCAACTTGAAGAAAGTTTCCCTAGAGCTTGGTGGCAAATCCCCACTTATAATATTCAATGACTGTGAACTTGACAAGGCCGTGCGAATGGTAAGAGTGGGTCAAATCCAAGTAAATGGTGCCTACTTCTAAAACGCATCTCACCTCCCTCTTTCTCAGATGTCTTAAAATGAGATTTGATTTTGCCTAGTCACAAATAGAAACCATCCTTTTCATGCTTAGATTGGGAATACTCAGTGCACTTAGTTTTTGCAATAATGTCTTTATAATTTCTCCTATTAAAATGTTTTTAAAATGGGATAGAAGTCATAGAAGTCATAGCAAAAAGTTCAATAGATATTCTGGGGCGGGCTTCTACCTTCTCCCTCCTTCCCCCACTCCCCAGCATCTCACTCCATCAACCTGAACAGCTCTACTTTTATCTGTTTTCCACACTGAGCTTCTGTAAGATTTTTAGACACAACAAAGGATCCCATATTTTAAAAGTAATTGGCAACATCAATTTCCTGGCTTTAAAGATGTCGTATGTTTTTGTAAGATATTATCATGGGGAAGCTTGGATGAAGGAAACATAGGAACTCTTGTGCTATTTTTGCAACACCTTGTTAGGTCTGAAACTATTTCAAAGTATAAAAACTTATTTTAAATAAAACTTAAAGGTTAAAAAAAATTGGCATAGTCCTGATTCTTCATTTCTGAGATAGAGGCATATAGTGAGCCAACATCGGGCACGGGTCGTGCTAAGCTTTCTTGTGATTCTGGCGGAAATTTATGGTCTTCCTAGTTTTGTGCAATCTTTTAGCCTATGCACCGAGCAGAATCTGTTCACTATTCTCCATAACCGTAGTCTTAAAGAACACTCACAGCCACATCTCATCACGCAAGGGCCCCACAGAGAATGGAGTGACCTGGGAGTAAAGGACGGCCAAGCGGTCCGTTGCTCAGGGCCCATGAAGTGGTCCGTCTGGGGGTTTCAGTGACAGACAATGGCTGGAGGTACATGAACTGACATCAGGGCTCAGGAATTGCCTTGACATCTGGGTTTCAGAGAGCTTTCCAGAGCTTGTCAGGCAGAAGACTGAAGAAAAGAAAATAAAGGGGAGAGGGATTTTCTTCCTATACCGTGGTCTGTTGTTTTCAAAAGCACCAAGCTGAATGTTAGTCTTCACTAGATATCTCACACTCTTGATTGTGTAACATGAATAAAAAGGAATGAATAAAGATTGTTAAAGGTGAAATAATTATAAACAAGGAGAAAATCCCAGTGTAGTGATTACAGAACCAACTTTTCCCTCAAGTTGAATATTCTCAAATAGTGAGTTTGATATTGGCTGCCATCAGACTTTACCAGATAGGAATATATAATCTTAAAGAGTCCGAGTTCTGACCATTTAACAGCTCCAAATCCAAGATGGTGAACATACTTTTGAAAGTTTAAAGATAATAAAATGTACGTATATAAAAAATGTGTGTTATTTCAAAGCATCTGTTGTATTTTTTACTTAGTCTATTGAAGTTTCCTGGAGGTGAATTAGAAATGATTTAGAAAGGGACGAGGCACGAAATCCACCAGTCTTCCAAATCTGTCATTTTTGAGTGCCTTCATTTCAAAGATTTTTCAAACTTCTCCTTGAAAAATGGATTTTCCTTTTCATGCAGGGTGAGGGAAGCTTTCTAAACATTTGTGATTGATACAAACTGAAATAGAGATTTTAAAAGCAAAACTTGGTATATAAGTATTACATTTAAATTTAAACAATAAAATAGATTTTCTTAGAATACAAAATTCATCCTTAATGGCATATTGTTATTGTTACACACTTTTTAAAAATGCTCATGGACCAAAAGGAGGAAAGGAGAAACAAAATTTCTAAAAACAGGCTAAATCAAAACTGAATATCTCCAAGCAGTTCTTATCACCAACAAGGCCAAGAGGACCGTCTATGACTTCTCTGTCCTGTCTGCTGTCTTTCAATAACACTGTGCATGTTATTCACTGTGCGTACAATTTTATGACAATCTTGACTTCTCAAATAATGTTAACAATATTTTTTCTTCTGGGGCCGAAGGGCATGGGAGCAGTATTTTTCAACAAAGGAGAGAATTG